GTAGAATCTAGAGTTTGACTACCATGCATGGATCACTGTAATTCAAATGCTTGCACCTAAGGGGAGTAACTTTAAATTTAAAATGATAAATTTGGCTTAATAAATATTCAAATGAAACTTGGTAGTGTTAACAAATGTTGTTTGGAATGGCTTTTCATGTTGAGTTAATAAGAGTATGATTGAACCATTTGTGGCAAGTAGCAACTCAAGAGCAAATTAAATGAAAACATAGTTTTCAAACACATACACAAGAAATCCACAAGTAAGCTTACCACTTTGGGTAGAAGTTTCAAAATCTGTTTCATTTCTTCTTCGAAGTTTGCTTCTAGTATCCTATCGGCTTCATCAATGATGAGACACTGCAAGTCAAATGTATTGCTTAAAATTCATATACGCTGCCTAAAGTTAACTTTAAAACTAAAAATCAAATAAAGAGGGGAAACAGAACAGCAGCGCATCACATAACATGAATTCCTGACTTGCTGGTTTATACACAACAAATTTTACTATGTTTAATAAATGTTCTATATTTAGCTATTAGAGTAATAAACTAAATTATATAAAGTATAATATACAAACAATTTTGCAACTAAGAACACAGCACTGGTACCTTCAAGTTCTTATATACAAAGCCCTTGGTGTTGTTAAGATGATCGAGAAGACGCCCAGGGGTAGCTACTAAAAGGTTTGCTCCTTTCGTAAGACGCTCAGCTTCCCCTCTTCGCGCTGCACCTCCAATAACCAATCCCAGAGTCTGTGAGTGATACTTAAGCAGCTCTTTTGCCACAGCATGAGTCTGAATCATTACTGAGGGTTAGGTTGGAATTAAAACTTCCCACTCTCAAATAATATACCAGATTTCAAAAAGTATATTTGTTATTCAACATATATCAACGTGCAAGCACATAGACACATGCACACACGAGATCTTTAGGTAGTTATGGTTTGTTTAGCTGCATGAGAGACCATTTGACAGGAAAATAGCCAACCAGCAAATGGCAAGGAAACAATGGTGCAATATAAATAACTTACCTGAATGGCCAGTTCCCTAGTGGGGCAAATGATGATGACTCCAGTTCCATTGCGATACGTAAATTGAACATTAAATAACATTTCAACAGCCGGTATGAGAAATGCAAGAGTTTTACCAGATCCAGTCCTTGCAGCACCAAGAACACCTTTTCCTTCCAACAATGGAGGAATGGCTTGAGCTTGGATCTTCAACCAAAATAAAAAATATGAAAGAAATATTAAAATAAAGATCCTACACTGAAATTTTGCACTGTAGGCAGGATAATAAATGTATTTCAAGGCTTATTCTCAAGGTAGAAGGATGCAACACACCAAATAAGATAAATTCAAATTACATTTGATTGAGCTATAGATACTAAATTAAGAATACTTGTATTTTTTATAAAGTACTGCATATACTAGTATCAATCACCATAAAACTTCTGACAAATTAAAGACAACTCTAAATGTAGCATTAAGATTTTGAATCTTACTAAAGAGCCTGCAGCCATAAACAATTACCAGATCACACAAGGAATATATTTCAAAACCAGTACAGATTTTTTTCTGAGACATACCTTAGTCATGTGCTTAAACCCCATCTCGTTAATAGCTTTCATAGTCAGCTCTGAGAGACCCAAAGTATCAAACGATTCTATACTCATTATCCCTGAGCTGGAACTCCTTACTACCTTCTTTATCTCCTTCACCGCATCCTCATCTGCCTCTTTGGCTTCTTCTTCCTCTTCCTGATCATCTTCCTCCTGCTCTTCTTCTTCTTCTTCTTCTTCTTCTTCTTCTTCTTCTTCTTCTTCTTCTTCTTCTTCTTCTTCTCTTCCTTCGTCATCTTCCTCCCTCTTTCTAACCTTATCCCTTTTTTTCTCTTCCTTTAACTCATGTTCTGCCATGTTCTCATCTATGTCTTTCTTCTTCTTCTTCTTCTCCACATTCTTTCTCTTAGTTCTCTTTTCTTTCTTCAAGGTCCTTTCTTCTCCCTTGTCATGCTTGTCACCATCATTTTCGTTCACATTTAATTTCTTCCGCTTACTTTTGTCTTGCTTCTTTATCTTTTCGGCTTTACTGGATTTGTCCTTGGGGGTTTCAGTCATCGCAAAGATACCGTTGAAGTAGTTGGAAGGTGCTGCTAATAAGAAAAAATGTATTAAAAAATCTGATCAAATTGCAAGTTGGGTGTCGTGAGTATCTTCTAGGCCCAAGTCCAGCCCGCACAACGGGCCTAGTAATTGCAACCCGAGCCTGTTGCTCATGGTAACCGCGTGCTTCAATCTGGTCCAACCCACATTTAAACTGATTTTTGAATAATTAAAAAATTGATTTTAAATGAAATAGTCTTAAAATAGCTAGAGATGGCCAATTTAACAATTTTAAACAAAATATTAACATGCCCAAAAAAATGGATTAGACCACTAAAGAGAATTTTTTCAATCTTAAACCTAGTAATCACTAATTCTGGTGCACATAAACTCAAAGAAACAAGATTTTGCAGATTTATCTGGATCTCTAAAACCCATTTGAAATCTATCAATTACCAAACTTAAACTTGCACCGTATAGCTTCAAAAACTAAAGTTTACTCCCAACGGTGACGCAGGTTAAAATTAAATATTTGATTTTGTGAAGAAAAAACTGCAGGACAAAAACAAGTGAAAACAAATCACAAACCAGAGCCTCTGACTTTGGTGAAGAGGATGGAACGGAGAAGAAAAAAATCACTAAATTTAGAAATTAAAGTTAGAAAAGTGTTGGGGAAAAACTAGGATCTTCAGTTTTCTTTTTCAGTTTTCAGTTTTCATTCTTTTTCTTTTTCCGTTTTCAGTCTTTTTATATAAATCTTAAATTCATGTCAATTTTTCAGTTTTTTTGTTTTTTAGTTTTCAGTTTTTTTATATATATCATAAATTCAAATCAATTCATCCAAATTAAATAAAGAATATATGGAACCATTAATTCATTCATATTTTATAGCAATTAGCAAAGATTTCAAACTAAAAATTAATAATTAAACCTGGATTTTAAATCCAAAGAATGAAACAATGAAAGAAATAAAATTAGAAAAAAAATTACTAAATTGGAAAGATAGTGAATACGTTACCGGCGGCGTCTGGAGGGTGCCTGGAGGGTGCAGCGGCGTCTCTCTACCGGCGGCGTTCTAGCAGTCGGCACTCTCTTTCCGATTCGGTTTCGGCAGTAGGCTTCGTCCTCTAGCTTCTGCGCCTCTGCGGTTTGCTTTCGTAAGTAGGAAGGGATGGGGCGGCGAATGAGATAGGCTTTTGAAATATTGGGCTGGGTGCTGGGCTTCTTATATGCATACATATAACATTAAGATAATTGGGTTCCTTACAATCATGGGCCCGGTCCGGATGGACTGTTTATCCCCTATTGGGCCAGCCTTAATTATGGAGTAATTAGTTACGATGCACATAAAAAAAAGGATGCCTACTTTTTAAAAGAAATATTTGCACTAAATAACATTAAGTCATTTTCCTAAATAAACTTAAATTGTTTTACTACAAATCAACTTAAATAGAACTAAAACATAGAGAAGATTACTAAAATAGAACTTTCATGTTTTTTTTTTCAAAATAAGATTTTCATGATTTTTTTCGAAATAAGCCTTTGCACTGTGGTAATATGACTTTGCCCTGTTGTAATGTGGTAGTATACATGTGCATATTACTATATTTTTTGGTAATATATATGACCATGTATGGTAATGTTAGTCCCATTTCGCAAATAAAAACATTGAAGTCCTATTTTAGTATATTTTCAATGTTTTAGTTTTACTTAGGTTTTTCTTCCTTATTTTATTCTCTAAATAATACTTAATAATGTCCATAATGTCCAGTAGTGATGAACATTTGCTTGAATAATGACTAATGGATAATAACTAAAAGTGCTACATTAACAAAAAACACATGTAATAATATTTAGAAAAGGGCATTATGTTTTAGTGTTATTTACGTAAATTCCTCTTTTTAAAAATTATGATGCACAATTGATCTGTCAATCAAAGTGAAGTGATCACCTACTACCTAGTATTGTAAAAAATACAGTATTCGATCCAATCTTCTATGCAACACAAGCACCTCAAGTTATCAGAATTTAATGGGTTTGGGACTCTCATTAAAGAGTACATAAACATAATCAAACATATTAGAATATCAAAAATAGCTTTCATAAAAAAAATCTCAAAAAACAATCACATTTTAGTTGACAACAATAACAACATAACCAAAAGCTAAATACTACCTCCGTTTCAGAGTATTTGTCCACTTTTTTTACATACCATCCAATACACTTCTTTAATTCATTTTATCTTGTAATTTGTATATTAAAAAATTATAGAAATTATAAATTAATAATCTATATGTTAAGACAAATCAAACAAGATCACACATGACTATATTTAGGCACATTGAGAAAATTTGATGAGTCAAAATGCTTAGATGAACAGTTCCAAAAGTCAAAACTGGATGAATACTCCGGAACAGAGGGAGTAAAATTTTAAGTATGAGAATGTCAAGTTAACAAAATGTATAAACCTTTGCTTTACACAATGTATAGTAATAAAATAAATGAACAGAATATATAATAAACAAAAAGAATCAACATGGTGTATAGCGAACAAAAAAAAATCAACAAAATATATGATACACAAAAATAGTTAATCGAATGTATAATGACTAAAACAAATCAACAGAACATGTTAAATCAACATGACCAACTCGATTGTACATGTAATTAACTAGTATAGGACCAAGAAATTTGTAAAATAGAAGTTAAAACGACGACATGTGAGAGAAAGATGAACGAAGAAGAGGAAGATGAGGAAGAGTAGCCGACATACATGACTAGTTGTGATGAGTGAAGAACACGCTCAGGCGAATGAGAAGAAGAGTAACGGTGGCGATGAGTCTGATAACCGCTGCCAATGCCTCCGTGACAACGTATGTATTAGTTACGGAGTACCTTATTACTAAAAGGCTAAAAAGACCTAGTTTAAATTCGGTTTTTAGGGGTTTGGTTTGATTTTAATTGGGTTCGAATTGATTTTTGGTTGTTGGTTATTTATCTTACTGATCCAAACTTACTAGAGGAGTAAAGCTAGGGTTTAGTAACATCTTGTTGATGGACCACCCCAAATTCTTTATTCTATATCCTATATCCTTTCCTTTGCATATAAATTTGAGAGTCAAACGACTCAAAACTCTTAGAAGCTAACATGTGTCAACTTTTTAAGATGACACATGTCAAACCTTAAAAATGACATGTGACAAATTTAATATGAGTTAATTATTTTTTTATTTTACTTCCTTATTTTTCATTTCTTCAAATATCACACCTTTTCACTCCTTTTTTCAAAAATGATAATTTTCTATTTCAAAATTCATGAATCTAAATTTTGTGTCTAAATATATCTATATATGTGATATAAAATATTATATTGTAACAACTATACGTGAAACTTTTTTAAATTTATACTGGGCTCAAATTTAATAAATATTAAAATTTACAAAACGAGTTTTATATGTAAACTAGTATAAATTTTCTAATAAAATAACATAGTCACGTCAATTATTTATTATACGCAAATATATCAAAAGATCTAAGAGATTTTGATGTTTAATCAAATAGCTAATGAAATGATAGACATCGGTTTCCTCATTATGGACAAATTTTAACAAAATGTAGTTTTTAAAAATAGAATAAGGATTGCGTATCACTTAATTAAAGATAAAATGTTTAAAAAATAAAATTACTACATTGTGTGTTTTGATATATTATATGTAAAATAATAATAATAATGAATACTATATGGTTTAAAATATTCTATAAATTTTTTCCTAATAATTATAATTTTCTTAAATATATAATACAAAATACAATTAAAGATTCTACCAATATTCAATTTTTTTCATGAAATACTATATATCCACATCAAGTTAACGGTTGTGTTTTAATAGTTAATTTATAGAGGAAAAAAAGTTTTGTTTTTAAAATAAAACATTTTTTCTTTGAAAAATAAAATATCATCTTATTCAAAATAAAATTTATAAAATGATATAATTTCATCATCTTTATTAGTAACAATTTTTTGGGAATCTTTATTTTATCGGAACATAATTTTTCATAGAGAAGAATATAACAGTAAAAAATATAATAGAAAATTAAAATATAAGTTTGATATGTATATATAGAATATTTATATTTTAAAATTCTAAATGAAAAAATATAGTTTTGAATTGAATATTTTAGGATAAAATGATTAACATAAAGACACAATATTTGTATATTTATATTTAAAATAGTCGCATAACGAGTTATTTTGTGATTATTGACAATGTTTTTATATTAAAATACTCTCAACTTTGACACACGCAACATACTTTATTTTTAATTTTATCTTGTAGTGATATATTTTTTATACGATAGGAAAGTGAAAAATAACATAAATAGTATACTAAAATAGAAAGTTCAATGATATTTAATATGAAATTATAATTATTGATATTTTCACTTAATTGGATTTTTTATTTATTATATAGAAGTAAAATTAATATTTAAAATATTTACATGGAAGTCAACTAATTAAAAATAATGTTTCCTTACATATTATTAAGAGTGAGAAATGAATAATGTTTCTTACTAAAAAGTTTGTCTTAATGTTGTGAGTGTCAATCTTTATTTAATTAAACAAACAAACATTATTTGAAATTTTATATTAAAAAAAATGAGTACCTACAATCATACATTCTCGAGAATATCCATCTTCATTGATATAAAACATTATTTATTTTTATGGAAAATTACAAATAAAAAAAGTCCTTTATTTTGAATAAATTATTAATTAAATAACATAAATTGTATACTAAGAAAAATCGTAAGACATGTAGTAGACAAAATGTAATTATTAATATTTGTTGAAGGAATCTCAATCTTTATATTCTTATTTTAAGGGATGCTATAGCATTTTTTTTATTTTTATTCAAATATCAATCATGTCTTAAACAAAGAAAGTTTTTAATGGAAGTGTGGAGTGAAGTTCCTTTGTTTAAGATTTGTGTGAGGGGCAGGGGACGGGGGAGGGATGTAGTATTGAGTGAAGGAAGTTTTTTGGTTTGTTCGTGAAATCAGAGCATTAGAGAAAATTTTAGAAAAATGAACTTTCGTCAAACTAAAGAAAAATCAGTTTTCTCTCTCTAAAAGAAATAAATTTCTCTCCTCTTCACTAACTCTTTGGTCAGTGTTGATGAACCCTTAGGGATGTGATTCTTCTTTTACAAGGGAAAACATATTTTTTCTTCAAAAATAATTTTTTATGAGTACTATTTATGTAATCAAATGTAAGATATTATATTTAGAATCTTTAAGAAAAATATTTTTTTCTCAACCAAACAGATTCTAAGAATTACAAACAATTAGGAACAAAGGCTTAGAAAAGTTACACAATAGATTAAAATTTTATTTAATCCCGTGCGTTGCACTGATTAAAGTGCTAGTATGACTCCTTCCGTCCCGGAGTATTCGTCCACTTTTGACTTTTGGAACTGTTCATCTAAGCACTTCGACTCATCAAATTCTCTCAATGTGTAAGCCTAAATATAGTCATGTGATCTTGTTTGATTTGTCTTAACATATAGATTATTAATATATAATTTCTATAATTTTTTAATATACAAATTACAAGATAAAATGGATTAAAGAAGTGTATTGAATGATATGTAAAAATGAAAGTGGACAAATACTCTATGACGGAGGTAGTATGTATAAAGACAGTTCATTATTTGTAGCGGAGCCATGTGGCGTATGACATGTCAAAGTTCTTTATCCACAAGGCATAGTATCATCATTTTATTGGTCCACATGAAATTTATTAGTTTATTTTTTATTTAAATAGTGTTCATGATTATTGCATTTAATTACCATAAATTTGTATATAAATTACTTTTTATATTCTACGAAGTAATTATTACTTCCTCCGTCCCTAAATAAAGTTCCATTTTTGACTTTTTGAGAATTTATGGGAGGAATATTTTTGTGCTGACTTTCCAAAAATACCCTTGATGTGATGTGTAAAAGTAAGATGTGATAGGTAGATTATTAGTAAAAAGGTATGATGTGATAAGGTAGGATATGAAAAAATAAGGGGTAAAAAGAGTTTTTAAGGAAAAAAAAAAGTTTATTTAGGGACAAAGAAAAGACGAAAGAAGAACTTTATTTAGGGACGGGAGAATATATTAATATGTTTATATGTCCTTCATCATTTTTAAATATATTTTACGGAGTAATATCTTAAAATCAATAGGCAACTCTTCAATGATTTCTCTCCACACATTAATCATCCACCTTATCTCCTTTACCAAAGTCCTCAGATTTCCACAGCCATTTTCATTTCTCGAAATGCCTTCTTCACTTCTTCCACTTCTTACTTTTATTATTACATTTCCGCCGCCGCCATTTTTCAGTCACCACCGGCGATCAAAAGAAAACCTCCGCTGTCGCCATCCCCCCCGCCCCTAATGGCTACCAAGCCTGTTTACTCACTCACGATTCCCCGATTTCTTCACGCGTCGTGCAAAAGGCCATTCGTTTCTTCGTCTTTTGCTTCCTGTCCGTCTGCTTCTAGGCTTCGATTGATCCATTTTGCTGGAAGGAAGGTCTTTCTTCAACGCAGATTTCCGGCTCTTCCTTCTCAGGCGAATACCGATCAGTCAGGTAGCTTTTGGAGTAACGAAATACTCTCTCTCTCTTTCTGCTTTATTAAATTAGGCGTATCTTTTAATCGGACAATTATATTGATTTGGCATGAAATTAGCCAGAGAATAGGACTGGGTGAACATAAAATGTAGCATTAATGACTTGTGGCTTTGCAAATTGCAAATCAAAATTACTGGGATGAATTTGCAATTACTCTTGTGCATGGCTCATTGAACAATTTCTCTTACCTGGTGTATTTAAAGAATATGAATCATGCATTATGAAAGGTGCAGCTGATCATGTACTGATCTAATAACTTTAATGATTTTAATGTTGGTTTCACAAAACTAGATCGATACTCAAGGCCTCTATTTTTGCTTACAAAACATAACCTAATTAAAATAATTCTGTCCCACTATTTTTTGGGACATGAGGGAGTGGCTCGGAAATTAAAAAAATGTAAGATTGTACGGTTGATATTGATCTTGAAAAATAAGATAAAGTAAGAATGGATGTGAACCACACAAATATGAGAAAATACTGTGAGACAGGGGGAGTAATTATTAATAGAAGTATAATATGTTCAGTTTAGAATTCTATTGATATTTTTTTTTTGACTTTTTTGAATATAATTTTCAGAATATAAGCGTCTATAGAAGTGAATATGTAATATTGTAAATGCTGCCTTCTCTATTACTCTGTAGTATTTGTCTTGATTGAGTACATGCAATTTGCTCTTGATTGAGAACGAGTTCCCATTTTTGATATTCTTTTACCACAAGTGCCTATTGGTAGCTGGGGTTTAGCCTCTGCATAAGTTGTAGTTTTTTTTGTGTGTTCACGTGATGGGGTGAATTGTAAAATTTGATTGGAAATCTAGTTTGAAATTGGCCGAGAAAGAACTATTATATCATCCACATACACTAAAAAATAAGCCAACACATGATCCTTGGCATACACGAACAAAGAGGAATCAGCCCGCGACTTACAAAAACCAGTGGCACGTAAGAAAGCTGATAAAGAATCATACCATGCGCGGGGAGCTTGTTTTAGCCCATAGATAGCCTTAGAAAGTCGACACACATGCGAAGGAAAATCTGGATGAACATAACCAGGAGGCTGCTCCATAAACACCTGCTCGGACAACGTACCATTAAGAAAGGCATTATTAATATCCAATTGCCGCAGGGGCCAATTATGCGCAAGTGCAATACTCAAGACGAGACGAATCGTGAACGGCTTCATAACCGGACTGAAAGTCTCAAAATAATCATGACCAGGCTCCTGTAAATACCCCTTGGCAACTAGACGGGCTTTAAAACGATCAACGGACCCATCCAGACGACGCTTGATACGAAACACCCATTTGCATCCAATCGGACGTTGCGCCCCCCAAGGTACGAGTTCCCATGTGGCATTTTTTAATAACGCTTGATACTCCGCATCCATTGCCGATCGCCAACGAGCATCCTTGAGAGCTTGAGCAACGGTTTTGGGTTCAAGAGACTCGGGCAGCGGATGATGAGTAGTGACATGAGACTCCGGAGAATTGGTGACAAACTGGGGATTGAATATTTTGGGGTTAGGCCGTCTCTGACGAACGGGACGCAAGGCACCAACATTTGGAGCGGGAACCGAGGGAGCGGACGAAGTGGGAATAGGGGGAGAAGCTGCAGCAGACGACGTATGAGGAGTCGTCGTTGGGTCGGGAGTTGGAGCCGGTTGGGAGAGGGACTGACCTCGAGAAACAGCGGAGGCCAGAGGATGGCGGACCGCTGGAAGAGGAAGGACAGGCGGCTGTGAGGCAGAGAAGGACGAGAGGGACGCAAAAGGGTAGTGATGCGGAACAAATTTGACATTGCGGGATATATAGAGACGGTGGGTTGTAGGGTCAAGACACATATAGGTAGACTGACTAGTGGAGTAACCAACAAACACACACGAGATAGACTTTGGTTGGAGTTTAGACTTGGCGTACGGGCGAAGCCAAGGATAACACAAACACCCAAATGGTTGAAGTTTGAGATAGTTCGGATCTCGGCGAAAAAGACATTGATATGGACTGCAATTTTGTAGAAGAGGAGTTGGCATACGATTTATGATATAGACCGCAGTTTGAAAAGCATACGGCCAATAAACAAGAGACATAGACGCATGATGAAGTAACGACAAGCCTGTCTCAACCACATGACGATGTCTGTGCTCAGACGTGCCATTATGCTCAGGTGTGTGAGGTGGAGTAGTGAAATGAGACACCCCTTGAGACGCAAGAAACGAACGCAGTTTAATATATTTCCCACCATTGTCAGAATAAAGAGAGATTATTTTGCTGTTGAAAAAATTTTCCACCATATAATGGAAAAATAGTGGAGACCTCAGATTTGCGACGCAAGGGATAAAGCCACACATACTTGGTGAAATGATCAACAAAGATGACATAGTATTTATACCCATCAACAGACACATCATTGCACGACCATACATCAGAATATATAAGCTGTAATGGTGCAGTACCTGTGAGAGAATTATTGGAGAAAGGCAATTTGTGACTTTTATTAATGGAACACGCAGAACAATGAAAAGTGTCAAAATCAAGTTTAGACACTTGTTTATTACAATATGGTAACATTTGGGACAAGACTTTATTGGAAGGATGCCCAAACGCATGATGGAGATCAGACAAACCAATGTGATTCACTTCCGGTGGACGAACAGGAATAGACCGTGAAGAAGAGGCGCCCCCGTTGTCAGATCCTTAACCACAAAAGACAAAGGAAAAAATTCAACGGAGACATGATTAGTTTGACACAATTTAGAAACAGACACTAGATTTTTGGATAGTTGAGGAACGCATAAAACATTGGTTAACGAAAGAGACCCAGAGGAGGTGGGAATAGAGGTGGTACCAACATGAGAGATTGGGAGACCCTTACCGTTGCCCAAGCAAATTTCATCAGGACCACCGTAGTCGGAGAACGATTGGAGATGCTGAGGTGCGGGAGTGGTGTGGTGACTAGCACCACTGTCAAACATCCACGGATTTATCCCATCAGGAGTGAGAGCCGTGGCGTGCACAGAAGGGGACGACACGCCATATGCCAAAGCAGAAACCGTCTGCATGCCATGTTCGCGGAGAAGACGAGCCAGTTTTCGGCATACCTTAATGTCATGTCCGGGAATGGCGCAGAAGTGACACGCCGCAGCTGACCCGTCTTGTCGGCGAGATTGCTTGAAAGCCCCACCGGGAGAGGAACGTTGATGGCCGTAGGAACGAGAAGGATTTGCGGGCTGCCCAGACGCATTACCACCATGGCCATGCTGACCAGCGGGGGGATAGCGCTGAGTGGCATTGGCAGTAGCCACCACGCTGGAAGAGACATCATCTGTGAGTTTTAATTTGCGTTCAAAATCACGCAAAATGTCACCAAGTTTGGGAAACGGAAGTTTGGAGCCACGGATGAAAGCAGCGGAGGCAATAGGATCGTACTCCGAACCGAGCTGATTGAGAACATGCGACACAAGATCCTCTTCCTCAACGGGACTTTGATTAAGGGCAAGCTCATTTGCAATGGAGTGCATGTCATGGAGATACTCATTAATGGACCGAGCACCACGCGGATTCTTCCCAAGTTTAGACTTGAGAGCTAAAATGTGACTGCGACTCGCACTTGCAAAACTGGAGTGAAGATTGAGCCACGCTTCACGAGCCGTGTCAACATTGGAGATGAGCGGCTGAATGGTGTTAGTGCAGCTACCCAAGAGAGCACCGACGATGGATTGATCTTGACGAAACCAGATTAAGTAACATGGGTTAGCGGAGCCGTCAACGGTCGTTGGAGGAGCAGTGAGTGTTCCATCAACGTAGCCCAGGAGATTGAAGCCAATGAGAGTGGAGCGAACTTGACGCTGCCAGATCGGAAAATTTGTGGTGATCAGTTTGATCGGAAAATGTGTCTTCGCATGGAGTTGGAGGACAAGTGTATCTTTGGTGATGGCGTATGCCATGTTGCAGCCAATGGAAAGGGAACCGGCAGAGAAAGGATCAAACTAGAAAAAAAAATAATTCTAGGGCTCTGATACCATATAAGAGTTATAATTGGTGTGAATTCTAGATATCATTTCATGAAGGAAGCCTTTTGGCTTTTATACATAAGCATACGTACAGGAGATATACTTGGTCATACTAAACCCAAGCCACAAAGTTAGGAAAGCTAAACCATACGGATAGGAATAAACATAGGATAGATACAAATAGATACAATGAACATAGACATTCTAGTTTATGTAGAAGTCTCCTGAATATGCTCAAAGGAAAAGGAGCAACAAAAGCACTATGTGATTGAAATATTCCACTTATATTGAACAAGTAAGTTTTAGGAATGCTATAGTTGTGGCTTCGTTATATAGATCTAAATGTTGGACAATGAAGAAAGATTTGTTAGAGAAGTTGAATGCGGTGGACATGTGTATGTCAAGATGGATGTGCTTTAAGAGTATAAAAGATAGAGTGCGGAGTGACAAAATTCGCAGGAAGATGGGGTATTGCTAGTGAAGATAAAATGAAAGAAAACTGATTCTCTTGGTTTGGGCACGTCAGTCATCTAGAAGTACGCGGCCTAGTCAACCGGTACACAAAGTAGAGTCGTGGAGTGTGAGAGACTTGAAGAAAGTCAGGGTAGGCCATAGAGGTGTTGGATGGAAGTTGTGAACATATTAGAGAAGCCAGTCTTAATGAATGTAAAAAGAGGATTTCTGCTGATCATCTCTATATATTTTCTATTATAGGTTGTAAATAATCCATAATCACAGTAAACGGATCAACAACTTCTATCAAACAATATCTTTTGAGCTCCAGTTCAGGATGATTTTGTCAAAGATGTGGTAGAAGGCCATTCTGCTAGAGGGTTTTTAGGGACTGCAAATACTATGAGAATGGATGTTTTTTTTGTTTTGTCTGCTTAACTACATATAAATACAACCAATAAGATTAGCTTCCCTTTCAGGTCAGGTCCGCGAAGATGAAGTTGAAGACAGTAAGATCTTACCCTATTGCAGCATTGATGGGAAAGAGAAGAAGTCTCTGGGCGAGATGGAACAAGATTTTCTTCAAGCATTACAAGTATCTATATGCAAAATCTTGTTTTTGTTTTTACTTCAATTTTCTTCATTTTCCATTTCGTTGAATATCCTGGCCTTTTGCCAAATGTCAAGGATACAAGTGGATTTTAAAAGGTAGTGTTCCATGTGTTTTCATGTTTCTAAGTGTTTGATTTTTTTCACTGCCTCAACGCTATAGGCGTTCTATTATGAAGGAGAGGCTATCATGACAAATGAAGAATTTGATAACCTGAAGGAGGAGTTAATGTGGGAAGGAAGCAGTGTTGTCATGCTAAGTATGTAAGAAATTTTTCACTTTTTTAATGAATTTTATGTAGGTTACATAGAGATAATAAAGTACTCCGTATGTATTAACATTCAAGCTGTCCAAGTTTTTCATTTTGTTTAGTGAATTTTCTAATAGTTATACAGAGAGATTATAAGGTATTTATTTGTAACTTTAAGTTGTCCAAATTGCAGGTGCTGATGAACAGAGATTTTTGGAAGCTTCCATGGCATATATTGCAGGGAAACCAATTATATCAGATGAAATGTTTGACAAACTAAAGATGAAACTCAAGGTACTCTGCAAAGTCAGATCTGAGAAAAGTTTAGAAAAATCCACTGAATTTTTTATTCTAATTTTTCATCTGTTGTTTTCCTTAAAGGCAGACGGGAGTAACATTGTGGTTGAGGGTCCACGGTGTAGTCTTCGCAGCAGGAAGGTTTGTAAGTTATTGTTCATCATAACTCAAGTGTGGATAGGAGGTGCTAATTCACTGGTATTACTTTATGCAGGTTTACAGTGACCTCTCTGTTGACTACCTGAAAATGTTCTTGCTTAAAGTTCCTGCCACTGTTGTAGCCCTGGGATTGTGAGTCTAATTCTCTCTCTCTCTCTCTCTCTCTCTCTCTCCCACCAAGTCACTTTCTGTTAGATTTTGTTTCTAGTAATAATAATAATTTAGTTCAGTAAAATTGATATTTTCTTATCTCATGGAAGGTTTTTCTTCCTTGATGACTTGACTGGATTTGAAATCACTTACCTTTTGGAGGTACTTTTTATGCACAATTTTGTTTCTTTCTACCATTTCTTGCTCCATTTTTTACTCTCTCTTGCATTCATTATTTAACTGATGCATCGTTTTTCGTTTCTAATATTTTTTTCTATTTGCAGCTTCCTGAGCCATTCAGTTTCATCTTTACATGGTTTGCAGCTTTGCCTTTGATTGTGTGGCTGTCTTTTTCAATCACCGGCTTCATTGTTAAAGATTTCCTGATTCTAAAGGTATGATTAAAAAGATGCTGCTAGTTAAGTAACTCACCTTGAATGCCAATTCAAACTGTAACTTATTTTGGGTATGGTTGAAATTAACAAGTGAAACTCTCATATTTCAGGGTCCCTGTCCAAACTGCGGAACAGAAAATATTTCATTTTTCGGTACTATATTGTCAGTATCTAGTGGCGGTTCCACCAACAACGTGAAATGTTCAAAGTAAACTTTTATGTGCATCTTGTGATCTTCAATCCATGGGTTTCATTAGAACAAGAATCATTAATTTTTATCTTTTTCCCTCTTTCTCAACAGCTGTGGGACAGAAATGGCATTTGATTCAAGCACACGCCTGATTACACTGCCAGAAGGAAGTAGAGCTTAAACAGGTACCCTCTTATCCAGACTTTTTTATTTTTTTGAAATACTAATTAGATACATTGTGCTCTAAGTAATTGCCCCCTTAGATAAGGGAGTTCGGATCTCGAGTATTAGGGCTGGAAGATTATTTGTCTTGGGACTCGAGTTAGCGTAGGGAATTAGGTGTAGAGTGATATGGGTTTATTCATTTGTGTTGTTATTTACTCACCCTTTTAAAATTTTTATTACATGTTACTCTCATTGTTCATCTTTTATATTTGATTTTTCTAACTTGTTTCAATATTTTATCGGTAGCCGATCCCACCTAGTGGGATAAGGCTTTGTTGTTGTTGTTTTAACATTTTATTGAGCCAAGTGGTTTTTTGTGCAGATATTGGGTAAAGGCGCGAGTTTCACGCGTAACAAGATAATGTATTTGCACCAATGCTTGGGATATTAGACATTGTTATGTAAGTCTTATGCAGGCTTTTTCTCGTGTATATTCTTTAATTGATCTTGTCTCATCAATTTGTGCACATAAGTTAAAATATGGAGAAGTCTTGTTGCTCAAATTTCCCAATATAAATATATGCCTTAGCTTGATGAAATTATAACCCTTTGTTTTCGGGATCGCCACCTTGAAGAAAATAACACTCCCTCAGCTCCAAAATAAGATTTGTGTTGATTATTCGCATGTTTAAACAAAGCATCTTTCTTAAAAAACACATTATCATCGATCGTTTAACTACTCTCATGGGATTCATCTGGGTTGTATCATTCATCGTTTGAGAAAATAAATTAAGCTATTATTCTATCCTATTGATTTTTTAATGTAGTTTTAAACACAACTTTTTAAATTCCACACCAATTTCTGAACATATTGGATTGACATTAGTTTCATAGTGATATCAACGCCCTTAGATCCTCAAGGTGAGGGCTTCCTTGGATAGTATTATTTGCATTGTCGATGTCTATGGATCTCATTCTTTGGTCATTTGGTTTATAAATTGGACATTCCTCAAGAATTACTCTTCACTGTTAAAAAGTCAAGGAAACATTTTTTTTATTTATGTGTTTTTATTGATTATTTGATAGAATAAAATATTTTTATTACTTTTTTTGCTTGTTTTATCTTTTTTGTCCCAATTCCAATATATTCCAATCTAGTTTTTTGGTCTTAGTTTTTTTGCTCATCATTTGTATTGGGGAGACCCCATGGGTTGGGGGTATAACCTTTTATTAATTTTTTTTTAAAGAAGGGTGAGCTAAATTTGAGAATTGTGTATTGGTTTGATATTAACACGAATTGAAAAGCAAGTGTAAAGAATGTAATGAGAAAAACAAAATCGACAAGTGTGTGTAAATAAATAAGTGGGATACAAAAGATATAATTATGTTACCCTTGTTTTTTTTTAGATTTTTTTGATGTAGTTTTAAATATAAGGTACTTCTATATTTTACAAAGTATTTTTTAAATATCACCTCAATTTTTTTGAACAAAGCACTTCTTTTGTTCACCAAGCTCCGAAAAAGTACAGATGCGCTAGTACACACTTTCCCTACTACACATTCTATATTCTCATTCTTTTGTTCATATATAATGGCTTGAACATGATATTTAATCAGAGTAGTAGCTATAGTCTCTTCCTCTTTAATCAACTTCTGGTAAAGTTTGGCGTTTCGTGCTTTTCATATTGTGTATAGCAAAATACCATCCAACCTGCGCCAAAGCTATTTCCCTCATATATATATATATGTGTGTGTGTGTGTGTGTCGGCTTCGATCATTTTCACGATGTGCATGCTCACCTATTTCTTTGAGGCCGGTCTTCTCCATCCCTATAGTTCAACCATCCAAATATACGTACACTTTGTGAGTATAGCTAACCTTGCAGAATAAGTGATTCATATTTTCTTACTCTTTCTCGCATAACAATCAGTTTGCATGTATTAATGTCCATGAATTCTTTCAGCCTCATCCTTGTTTGGAGTCTCCCTTTCATGATCATCTAGAAGATAAGTTTGTGCTTAATTAGGTATACCTCTCTTTTGTTCCAGACCCACTTGTACCAGTAATGGGTTGCCTTTGGGCCCAGCTATACCCCTTTTTCACCTCATACGTACTCTTCTTCATTACATATCATGATATCAATCCATCAAATTCATGTCTTACTTTGATCATTCTTCTCCAATATATAATGACAGCAATTTGGTTTGGGAAAAATGAGTGTTCTTCAAATATTTGGCATGAATCCATCTGGGGATGCATGAGGGGAGAGGGGCGGTGCTGGAATCGCCAGTTCTTTGGTTCCAGCAATTGTTTTTTGTTTTTTTTTTATTTATTTACTTAAAAGAAGGTCCCGCCACTGAAACAACTTAATGGGGAGGAGAGGGGGTGGGGGTTAATTTTTTTTTTTTTTTTAATAAATACCTTCTTTTTATTAAAATCACACTCAAAATTTCTCAAATCTCTCTCATTTCTCACTCAATCTCTCTCAAATCTCAATCACTCTCATTTTTTATATTTATTATTTTTTATTTAATAGTAATATATTGTACATATATTATAAATTTATAATATTAATAATTTTATATTATAAAATTATATTATATCACTAATATTTAAATATTAGAACATGAATATATTTTATTAATATATTGTCCAATATAAAAAAATATTAAAATGTCGGGCAAAAAGTTTGTAGATATGGGGATCTTGAATCGGCGAAGTTCAAACAAAGGCAAAGCCCCCGTCACGTTCTAGCTCACATATCTCTCAACCGAGACACTTTGTCTCGTCGTCTTCGACAATCGTGGAACAATATATGGGTGATGCATTGACTGATAAAGAATTTGATTAGATCATGGAGATTCGGAATGATGTGAACATTCAAACTCTTCATCATGATATTTTCGAGGACGATGACGAGACACAAGAACCAACTCCCGAGAGTAACGATCCTACCGGAAAAGGCAAGGAGACCGACAGGTGAGCCCGAGACCTCTGAAGGTCTAGGGAGATGTAAAAAAAATCTTTAGCCTGATTTAATTTGTTTGAATATCATTTTGATAAAAAAATAAAAAAATGGCATTATTGCGAGAATTTTCAAACATTGTGGGGCAGTAATAAATATGGGAATTTCAGGAGGTTATGGTTCGCTAACCAAACAACTCAAAGCGAGGCATCTCGTGGAGTACGCCAAAATGACGGCTAAAAAGGGATAACAGACTCTGCTTTCTCATTTTTGCGAACAAGGGTAAAGGTGGCTTTTTTGTTTATAGCGAGGGGAAAATAAATAAAAATGGCCAAGATGACTTGCGAGGAGAGAGCACTATTCATGTTATCTGAAAAATTTGGTTATATTGGTTATTGTTAAATTGCACTAAATCTTCAAGAAGAGGATTTTCAAGAAAAACAATTAAAATAGAAATAATTAAACATTATAAAGTTTAAATTTTTTTTGATACATTCAATTCTCGTGTTACCATTTATTCTGATATTTGGAGTGAAACTTATAATAACTTATCTTATATGGGTATTACTTGTCATTGGGTAGATAGTGATTGAGTAATGCATAAACGTGTTGTTGTATTTCATGATTTTAATGAATCTCACACGAGTGATGATATTGTCCCTTTGCTTGAGTGTATTCTGAAAGAATACAATTTACTTTATAAAGTGTTTGTATTTGGCTTTGATAATGCTATTAATAACATTACAAACTATTTGGGGGGGGGGGGGGGGGGGGNAATTAATTTAGGATAGTCGTAATAATTCTCATGCATGGAAGTCTTACTCTAAATATAGGGATAAAAACCAATAACATTTGCTAAGGATATTACGATTAGATGGAATAACACATATAAGTTGATTACACAAATCTTAAGGTTTAAAGAATAATGTGCTTCATTCCTTAGGTATGAACTTAATCATATTACTGATTTGAATAATTTATTATTGTTGAAAAATTGAATAACGTGTTAGAAGTTTTTAATAATGCAACTCTAACTTTCTTGCATGTTTATAAACCTATGACTAACCGATTTTTTTCTAAGTGTATATTACGATTGTTACATGTTTTAGTGAAAGTTTGTCTGATCCACATTTGTACTCCTATGTGTTTCATATGATGGATACATAGTGTGCTTATTACTTATATATTCCTGATATTTATAAAATTGGTATTATTTGTGATCCAAGCTTTAAGAATGAGAATTTTAAAATTCTAATGGAGTATTACTATAGTTATTTTTTAAATAATACCCGGAGTAATAGTTATTTTTATGAGCATTTAATGGAATGGATAAAAGACAGGGATAATGATATTGACCTTTTTAACTCCTTTTATAAAGAATTTCACATTTTGTATGGTAGTCCTTTAAAAGAAACAACCTCCTCCTGCCCTGAAGACAATAGAAGATTTCAAATTGGGTAGTTGATGGCCTCTTGGCGAGAAAAGGTAAGCATACCTCTGCCTCTACGAGTACAAGTGGTACAATAATAAGTTCGCACATCAAACTTGCGATGTACCAAAGCGTCCAATGCGATTACGATGGAGAAAACGAAAGCGAGTTCGCATCCTCGAATGGTGGAAGTGGAATGAGCACATGTTCCCGCCACTCAGAATGCTAGCTAGACATGTGTTATCTATGTTGGTTTCAACCGTAGCTGTGGAACAAGAGTTCAATTCTAGCAACAACATTTAAAACGACTTCCGGAGTTCTCTTAGCGCTGAATCGTTTAGGACACTTGTTTGCAACCGAAATTGGCTCTTGCCAAGGCATCGAGCACAAGAGGCACGGTACGACATGGATACGCAAAATTACATGGATGCAACCACGGAGGGAAGTGGTAGTTCCGACAAATAACTTAGTAATTTTTCTTAACTTGTAATTAATTCTTTTAAGTGAGCGATTTATAAGCTTTTTCAAGGATTTCTTTACGGTTCTTTACCTCGTCGCGCTGTTTTTGAATCGTCAGAATAATAAATGTAGTTGTACTATTCAACTTTTCATCATTTAAATAACAACTGCATTTTTAGAATTTAGATAAACTTGTTTTACATACTCCGTATAATATACACTATATTCTTTATATATTTATATTATCTAAAAAAATTAAGGAGCAACGGAAAACTGGTCGGAACCGAAACTGCCGGTTCCAGAACCGGCATTGGCGGAGGCAGTTACAGGGGTTGGGGTTTTCGGTTCTGCAACCGAAACCGAAATGGAACCGTCCCGTCTCCAAGCCTACCTCCAACTAGGGGTGTTCAATCGGATCGATCCGATCCGATCCGATCCGAAAATTCGGATATCCGAAAATTTCGGATCACGTAAAACTCATTCCATATCCGATCCGAAAATATTCGAATATCCGAAATTCGGATATCCGATTTTTCGGATTGGATCACTGGATTATCCGAAAAGTTGAGTGTTTAGCCAAAATTTACAAAAAAAAAGGGTAAAATAGCAAAATCAACCCAAAATATCAAATTCAATATAGATTTACTAAAAGAAAAATTCCACCACTAGGTAATGGCCTAATAAAAAAATGATATCAAATTTAATTTGGGAGTAACTTTGGTAATTTTGCCTAAACAAACAAAAAAACACTATTAAAACAAAATATTCTAAAATGCTAATGTAAAAAGTCCAAAATGGTTGAGTTCCAAAATCAACATAAAATTACATTTAAACATATAGTCATAATATATATCCATAAAATTTCAAAAAACATAATGAAAAAAAAAATCGGATATCCGATTATCCGAAAAATTCCAGAAATTGAATCCATATCCGATCCGATTTTTTTCGGATATCCGATCCGAAATATCCGAAAGCTAAAATATCGGATCGGATATCCATTTTTCGGATTGGATCGGCCCGGATAGTGGACGGATATTTCGGATTGGATATTTTTGAACACCCCTACCTCCAACCACCAAATTAAAAAAGCACAAAAAAAAAAAAAATGAGAAGATGGAATAGTGTAAAGCAATCGTCACCGGCGCCCTCCCCTCCCGTCTACCGGTCTACTCACACCCACCATACATCTCATCTCACCTTTTTTAAGCCACCAAAGATTTCCTCTTTCTTTTTATGTTCATTATAAACTCCATAACTCCTTCACAACTGTCTCAGAAAGTTTCTTGTCTTCCCATCCCCTTTTATACATTTATATATTTATAGATCCAACAAAACATATATTTACACTTCTATTCTATTCATTTTCTCACACTAATTAACTTCAATTAATTCCCATCTCTTAGCTTTGTTTTGTCGGGTACCAAACTTAGCTTGTCCAAATAATCCCTTTTGTTTTCTTTAATTATACTCCGTAACATATATTAACAACTCCAAAAAAATTTATAAAAAAATATATTTTTTGTTTTCAAAGATGGAGGAACAAGGCATGGAGTTGATGATCATGGGTTCGGGCGGTTTGGAGGCGGCGGAGGAGGAGGAGCGGCGGCGGCAGGTGAAGGCGGAGATAGCGACACACCCGCTGTGGGAGCAGCTGGTGGGGGCCCACGTGGCGTGCCTCCGGGCGGCGACGCCCGTTGACCAGCTGCCCCTTATTGAGGCTCAGCTCTCCCAGTCCCACAATCTCTTGGCCTCTTATTATGCTTTGCACCATAACCATAACCATAATAATAATAATAATCACTCTCTTCCTCCTCATGAAAGGCAAGAGCTTGACAACTTCTTGGTATGTATGCATATATGTATATATTTTCATTACTTCTAGCTAGCTTCTCATTCAAATATTTTTTTTTTGTGGTTAAAATTGTGACAACCATATACTCCACATTTAATTTGAGGGTATATTTGACACCATTTTTCTTGTATTCATTCTATTAAATGGTGTCAAAAATGGTGTACCAAGAGAATTTTGTAAACTAGAATACCTTCGTTCCAAAAAAAATCAAAATAAAAGACACAATTGCTATATTTACAGGGTTAATTAAATTATATCTCCCTTTTCATATATTAATTTCATTAATAATTTGATCCGAAAAAATAATCAAGTCACTCCTTATTTGCAGACTTTTTATATTGATTTTAAATATATAAATTGTATTTTTGTATTTTTAAAAATTTTTTAAAATAAAGTCAAATGAGATAAATTAGTCAACTTTCGTAAAAGCACAAAATATTTTTTTTGTGACGAAAGTTATAAAATTTATCAAATTTAATTATCCTTGGCATGATTTGATACATCTCTATCATTAATTTAATCAACCTTGATTTAAGTTGATTTCTTCTAAATGAAAGTTTCTTCTCGCACCGATTTTCAAAGGCTTTGCCCGAAGGATCGCACGTATTGAATAAAAAAACGCGATCATGTCTTTTCTTCTCAGCCGCAATTCTATATATTCCTGGAAATTCTTGGTCTAAGGTGTTCGAAAAATTCATAATTACAATCCTATACCCGTTTTTGTTACTTTCGAGTTTTATCTAATTAAATTTTGGATTGAACAATTAAAATATTCAATCTGAAAGTATTATACACGACTCTTGATTGATCCGCATTATCGTTATTTTTCCCCAACAACATATGTGGTACTTCATAATAAAATAGATATGATGATTTGTATAAGTCATAATTGGGAAGTCATGCAGGCACAATACTTGTTATTGCTATGCTCATTCAAGGAACATATAGAGCAACATGTGAGAGTGCACGCCGTTGAAGCCGTTATGGCCTGCCGTCAAATTGAACATAACTTACACGCTCTTACCGGTACGTACGTTTCTTTTCCGCCCGCCCTTTAATTAATTACTTTTAGCATTTCAAAAAAATTAATTATCTAATTGTATCACTTAGTTTTAATTTTTTTTTTCAAAATTAATATGCACCATTGAGAAGCTATTTGTACTCTAAAACTCTGCCACGCCCACATAATCACATTGTTAATTAGTTCCCATGATTGTTCCCAAAAAAAATTTACCAGTTTGATTTTCACGTAATTTAAGAAATTTATAAAAAAAAGTGTAAAAAGTGTTTGATTAGGTTTCATTTAGATAAGAGAAAATGTTTTGAATTACATGTTCGTTACATAAAAGAAAATAATTTAAATACATGAAATTGTTTTTAGAGACATCGAAAAAGTGAGTGAAGTCTTATGTGATAAAAAACAAAGAGCATATAATGATGTACAAGCAAATGTTAATAATCTCTTAGAGGATTATTAGTCTCTCTATATATATACTCACTAATATTTATTACTTCCTTCGTCCAAAAAATTATCTTCTCGTTGCGCGTTACGATGTTTGACGAAAGTTATTTTGAAATTCTTTTATACGAAAAATGTGTAGAATTTAAAAATAAAAATTATATATTTAAAAAACTACATTAAAAGATCTATAAAACTAAAGATGACATAACTATATTATTTTATCAAATAAGTAACAAAATAGGCTAACAAATTAGAAAGTAGTATATAAAGTTTGATTATGTGAATAGTGAACAAGAAAATAGTTCTTGGACGGAGGGAGTATTTGTTGGTACGAGTATATTTTTGTGTTTGACTAATGTGAAATAGGTTATGGAGCAATTCTTCCATGCTTCCACTTTGTTGACTTCTTTAAGTATGTGCTCATTTACTTATCAACAAAATTAAAATTTAACTTTAATATTATGAAAATATTATCTAATGACATTATTTAACTTTAACGTTTTCAAAGTTATCTATAAGGCAAATGAAAGTTGTCAAACAGAACATAAAACAGCACCATCCCCCTCACCCCATTTATAAAATTAAATATTTAAATGGGTATTTTTTATTTTTTGAGAGTATTAATTATATTATATAGTACGAGAATCTTACTTATCTTATAATTTTAATAAAAGTCCTTTATAGTACTAAAACAATGTTTTGTGTAAATATAAATCAAATAGCTAGGCCACTTTATAATAATAATAATAATGATAATAATAATAATAATAATAATAATAATAATAATAATAATAATAATAATAATAATAATAATAAAAAACAAATAGGTAGGGATATATGAAGATTTGAAATTGAAGTCCTCTACCTTAATAGGTACTCCGTAGATGCTAATCTAATACCGCGGTCTTATTCTATCGGTTGAGTTGTTGATTAATTGAACTTTGAATTCGGTCATTTATGACGTGACTTTTATATTACTCCTATTATTATTATTATTATTATTATTATTATTATTATTATTATTATTATTATTATTATTATTATTATTATTTTCATACTCTAATGTTCTTATTAAAAATTTATATATCAAAACATCCCAAAATGTTTTATTACTCCTTCCGTCCCTAAAAGATTACCATAGTTTAGCTTTTTGATCAAACAATGATACCACTTGACCATGAATTAAATATACTTTAAAATAATTAAATTTAATAAAAATTTGATATTTAAAAATTACATTTTACAATAAACATAATTTTACTAAATTACATTATAACTAAATATAATTTTTCCATAATTCGCGGTCAAAGAGCGCCACAGTTTGACCAAAAAATTCAAAGTACGACAATCTTTTAGGAACGGAGGGAGTATATATTAATAAAATCTACATGGAACATTTTTTTTTGCAACCTACATGAAATATTATAGGGAGTACTAAATCTATTTCAACTAACCCTACTAAAAAAATGCAGTGCTCTCTTCATCCCGTGAGACCCTTTTATCACACGAAAACAATATTTTTATTCTTTTTATCAAGAAAAATTCAAACAAACGTAGTTTCTAATGCTTCCCTTCCTTTTATAATAATAATAATTATTTCCTGCGTTCCGGAATAATCATATATTTTTTTACTTGGATTCGTATAGAATAAGTTATTTTTACACTAATACGAGCGTATAAAATACTCCGTATGAATTTATTTAATTGGTGACCAAAGCTCGTCCAATAATAGTATATTACTCTTTTCAATAATTAATGCTTAAAATTCTATATGGCCTTTATAGAAACAAATTACATAAAACAACAAACACTTCTAGAGCCAGTGTAGACAGTTATAAATTAATGCTCCCTAGAAAGTTATAATTTTCTTATTATTCTTGTATTTTTTAAATTTAAAAATAATACTACCTCTGTTCCGGAGTGTTGATCGAATTTTTACTTTTTGCACAAAAAATAAAAATGTTTAATTATTAATACAATAAAATTAATATTATACGTATGATATTAATACAAAAATAATTTAATTAGATTATTTTAAAAAATTCAAAATAAATTTTTATCTAATTAATATATTATATTAATTTTATATAATTATCAACCAAACTAAATTTTAATTAGTTACAAATAATCAAAACTGACTCGGAAGAAAAAGAGTATTGCATTGTGGGGTAATTGGTTGGAGGGACAAGAGAGATGGAAACTAAGCTAAGAAAAGGAAATTGGGGCCATGGGGGTGTGCCACCCTACAGAAGATAAATGGTTGGTGTAGAGTGGGCCCACTTGGGAAAAATTTGTTGTTTTATTTATTTATAGTTAGGAGTAGAGTTTATTATTAATTTATTATTAGTGTTATTAGTTGGTTGGACGATGGAAGATTGGAAAGAACAACATTAACAATGACAACAAACCAACAACGCAATTTAACCACTGAAAAGGGTACCTACAAATTGAATATAGATACAAAACTTCAAAGTATATATTCTTGTTTCATTGTGAAGTTTTTTTTGTCAACCTAGGGCATGTTTGGAAACAGCATTAGAAATTTTATCCAAAACGCTAACGTTAATCTCTAACACTATTTTCAAACAGGCCCCTAAAGAAGTTTAATTCGTGCATAACTTGCTGATGCCAATTTGGTTTGACTTCGTCAAAATTAATTCCATCTTTTTTATAAAAAAAATGATAATAAACTTTAAAACAAAAAATTTGTTAATCGAGTTCGATGAGTCAAACCTGATCAAATTCGAATTTGACCTCCGTTGAAGTAATGATTTTTTTTCAAATTCATGTATTTTAGCATAAAATATAATGTGATAAATCAAGTTTTACTAACATTCTTTTACTTTTTTTAGTGTCTAAACATCTTTTTTCTAATTTGATCGAATGTTCTAAAAGAAAGATGACATGACTTGTAAATTGTAATACAACTTTTTGAAATAAACCGGTTTCTTGATTTGATTTCTTCCTAAACCAGTGTATATATACAAAGGGTAATGCTACGTTCATAAACAGAATGATTACAAACTTCACAAACTTACTATTTATGGTTTAAATTCTCATTTTAATATTATTTTAGACTATTTAATTTTCTTTATTAAAGTTCGCAAATGGTAAGTTTGTGAAGTTTGTAAAAATTTGAGTTTTTGAACCAAGCATTGCCCATATACAAAGATTTACATGTCAACTAGCTATGGTCCAAATATAATAACTCAGGCCCATTTACATTAACTAACCCAATAATGCGGTTCCATAATAACTGATTTGTCATGTGAAATTCAACACATTTTTTGTGTACTATTTATATTATTAATTTTATTTGTGACTTTTGAATATATATTACTTTTATTTATCATTATATGAATCAAATGGATCTAATAAGCTAAAAACATTACTACAAAAACAGGTAAATAGATCGCCTCAACTGCTTCGGTTATTGAAAAAATCGATGCGAAAAGTCTAAAGCATCAATTATTACAAAGAATTGATGTCTTTGCTATTTTAAAAAAATGAAAAAGATGGGTATTGCTATATCTTCAAGTTTTGTGGGTCCACTTTTCACTTTTTTCAGTCAAAATTGGTAAATTTTGATTTCAAATTAAATAAAAATGATATTAGATATTGATACAAAAATAGTTCTATTAGATTTATTATATACGTAGTAATAGATATTTCCAAAATACGGAGTATTATTTTATCTAATTAATATATAATATATCTTTTATTTAATTATAGGTGAAATGTTGAAAACGATTAACTAAAAAAAAGTCAAAATTGGATAAATATTCTATGACGGAGTTAGTAACATTTTTTTCCCCATTGAAAATGATCTATGTTTAGGAGCAATACTAGGTGAAGGAAGTGGGGCAACAATGTCAGATGAAGAAGAAGAAGACTTGGAGATGGGCTTGTGTTTTGATCACATAGGAGGAGGAGCCGATAATGGGCCCGACATGATGGGCTTTGGCCCACTACTCCCTACCGAATCTGAAAGGTCACTAATGGAGAGAGTTCGTCATGAATTGAAGATTGAGCTCAAACAGGTACCAACCAATTCAAAACCAAATACCCCGGAGTACAATTTTTTTTTTTTAAAAAAAATCACACGAATACTCCCAAAAATACTACGGAGTACTTTTTACAAAAAATATTCCCAGATTTGATAATTAACATGTTTTCTCCCAACTTTATTATATTTTCACGTCGTCACTTCTTACTTCTCCGGTCAGCTCCTATGTGAAAAAAAGCTGACCTGTATTTTGAATACTCTTTTTCCATTTTAATTTTATTTAAAATGGGAGTCTTGAGTCTTCTTCATACCCACTGTGTTCGTACTTTTAGTCATCTCGTTTTGCATTTTTCAACCCCTTTCATAATCTTATTTTTTCGTTTAATTTGATTTCCGCTTAAAATGTTTATTAATACTCCATCTATTATAAATTAATAGTTTGGGCTTGATTCCCTGCGGAATTTAATAAAATAAAATTATATAATTGAAAAATGATGTAAATGAAGTAATTACCTATGCAAAAAATAGAGTTAAATAAAATTTAGTTTTTTAAATAATTAAAAGACCCAAGGCTCTCATTTTTAATAAATTTAAAATGAGAAAAAAAGTACTCAAAATAAAACTCGAATTTTTTCCACGTAGTAGCTGACCGGGCAAGTGGGGAGTAACGACGTAAAAATATAAAAATGTTGGGAGCAAAGGTGTTAATGATCAAATCTAAGAGTATTTTCGTAAAAAGTCTTATTTTTGAAAGTATTCTTGTGAATTTTTCCTAAAACTTTTACACTTCACTAATAAAATTTATTTTCGTTATACAGACAAATAATAAAAAAAACAACTGGTGTAAGATTATAATTTCTCATAGAGTAAATTTTTTTTTGGAGTGATGTAAAATGTTTGTGCAAATAGGGATTCAAATCAAGAATTGAAGATGTGAGGGAAGAGATATTAAGAAAGAGAAGAGCTGGGAAATTGCCTGGTGACACTACCACTGTACTCAAGAACTGGTGGCAGCAACACTCTAAGTGGCCATATCCAACTGTGAGTCACACAATTACATTCCCATCTCAAATTAAACAACAAGATTTTGAAAAATATATGGTAAAGTCTATATCAAAATAGGAGTAAAATGTTAAACTGAGTTGGTTTTTGACACATCATATGTTTTTTTTCTTCTTCATCAAAAAATTACTAAAATTTGCAGGAAGATGACAAGGCAAAACTAGTGGAGGAAACAGGCTTGCAACTCAAGCAAATCAATAACTGGTTTATCAACCAAAGGAAGCGCAATTGGCACAACAACTCACATTCACTTACATCTCTCAAGTCAAAGCGCAAGAGATAAAGGCCCACATATTCATTTATCCAAAACTCATGCATGAAATACCATTTGTATTGATATGATATAGATATAGATATGGTTTGTGGATTGCTTGAAACTCTTATATACTTCATTTGTTCTAAATTAATTGTAACATAAATGAAAGCTTTGAAGTTGTTTAGAAGTGAAAGCTTGTACTTTAAAGACCAGTACTCAACACTAAAAAGTAAACAATTGGGATTTTTTAACTAAAGAGCAATGTCATATGTAGATTGTAGAAATTTACACAAACGAAATTCATTTCATTAATTAATTAATTACAATTGTAGATTGGGAACAATTGTATTTCTACTATTACTCACCTACTTCTAGGATTCGTAATTATCTTGTTGGTATTGAAGACTACAGCCTTACAACGTATAATATTTCTCAATGTATAGCTAATTAAATCTTTCGATATTAATTAACTAAATAAGGCAAGAACAACTTCAGAATAACCATTCCAACATTAACTAAACATTTAAAGTATATGCCCAAACTAGTACGGACCCAGGGTCTGACCCTAACTCATACTATGCAAAATAATTAAAACATTATTATATTAAAATGAGAAGCTTACTGTCTCCGAACAAGTGGAAATTGAACAGGTCTGAAGCAGCAACTCCAAAATGATGAAATAAACTAAAACTACTTTTCTAGGATCAAAGGGAGAAGAAAACCAAGCTGGAATGGTGAATTCCGAGCTGGAGATGATGGAAAATGGGGAGGGCGAGTTGCTTTTATAGGAAATGGATCTGGGGCGTCCAACTTTGGATGCCCTAACCTTCGGCCCATTTCGGAATGTCACATGTCAAAATTGTGTCATCGTTGCGTTGCGTGCAAGCCACCTGGGGCGTCCAAATTGGGGTCTCCAAATTAAGGCGTCCAAGTTGGATGCCCCAACTCCAAGTTTGGGCTCTTGCGCGGGTTTCAGCTCTTGTTTTGGCCCAGTTTCTTCCTTTTGGTCCCCAAACGCCTATTTTGACTTCCTGGGGGCTTGTTCAAGCACAAATCTTGGTCCTCTGATGATTGATTTCCTTTTCTCAAGTATGAACAGAAAATGGATGATTTGAAATGATTTCATGTGGAATCTCCTTTTATGACTATTAGAACGTAAACAAGAATTTTATTCATGGAAAATATATTTTATGAGATGATTAAGTAATATTTACGTGAAATAACGATTAGAATATGAAGCAAAAGATACGAACGAAACAGATTTATCATCAACCTACAGTTAAAATGAGCATTGACTTGAGGGTCATTTAATTTTTAATAAAAGGCCAAAAAGGGTGAGCTTTATCTCCGAGACTTCTCTCACATCCGATCATATGATTAATGAGAGGAGAAAATTAGACTTTAATTGCATATTACTCGTACTTTTTTGCCCACCTTCACTCATCTGATTCTTAAAAAATGAGTGTTGAAGGTGGAAGTAAACTAACCTACCGACTCACACCACCTTGTCCGCATGGAGAGAGCTGTAATTTACTAATTTGTATATATCCACTGTTCTATGCGTTTTTTTTATATACGGTTTCCTTGTTGATTCTTCTGAGCTACCCATTTCTTCTCTCTTTCTCTCCATCCTTCAATCTCAATGGCGTCCACAGGAAATGGATCAGAAACCAAGCCTTACAAGTTCCTGATCTATGGACGCACCGGCTGGATTGGCGGTCTGCTCGGCAAGCTCTGCGAGGCCCAGGGGATCCACTACGTATACGGGTCCGGGAGGCTGGAGAATCGGGCATCGTTGGAGTCCGACATCGCCTCCGCAAACCCTACCCACGTGTTCAACGCCGCCGGCGTCACCGGCCGCCCCAACGTTGACTGGTGCGAGTCGCACAAGGTCGAGACCATTCGGACCAATGTCGCCGGCACGCTGACGCTCGCGGATGTGTGCAGGGACAAGGGCCTGATCCTCGTCAATTACGCCACAGGCTGCATTTTCGAGTACGATTCCGGCCACCCGCTCGGATCCGGCATCGGATTCAAGGAGGAGGACACACCTAATTTCGTCGGATCCTTCTATTCCAAGACCAAGGCAATGGTGCGTTTCTCTTCCCTCTTTCCTCATCATTCTGTGTCTGTTCAAAGTCTCTTGTCAAGATCCATTTGCTTTGCTTAGCTGTTGAAATTCAAGATCTGCTGTTTCCAGTAGCTAGCTGATTTAATAGTAGTGTTCAATCTGGATTTGGCTAATGGGCATATATGATCTAATGATCTTGTAGTAATTTCTTATGATACACTTCACATTAATCCATTGTTTCTTTCATTGATTGGATTATGAATGTAAGCTAAAAATGTTAATCAATTGAATGAACAATAATATATGATCTTATGTTGTGTCTCGAAGTTGAAGAATGACAGATCATCTTAGCTAATGTCACTCTGATCTGCAGTTCCTTTGGGGTTCTTTGGGTACACGGAATTGGAATTGAAATTCTATAGGATTGAATTGGATGAAATTGAATTTTCCAAATCCAATTCATTTTTTTGCATTGCCAGTTCCAAATCCACATATTTGTGTGCTACCAAACAGCAGAATTGGAATTGAAGTCCTCAGTTCCAATTCCATGGCTTAGAATTCCGTGTACCCAACAGAGCCTTATTGTGTTTCTTTCTGTTAATCCTCGATGTTCATATATCAGCCAATGCCAGCTCTTTGACATCATCTGAGAGTCCAAGCCTGGAAATAATGATCAAAGCCTCATTTTTCTCAATTAGTTCTTGATTGTTTGCTGTTATAGATCTTGGATATTTATACTTTGCTGATTCGTCGTCCCACATTCATGGTGGTTACTTAGTGTGTTACTTCTTGTGCTCCAAGATGTTCCTCGTTACGATGATCAGCTTGCGGAGTTACTCGGCATAATAGATATATTAGGAAATAGATATTACGGAGTATTTTTTATTACTTCCTTATTGTATTGCTCCTACTTAGATTAGAATTTTCTTTTGTAATCTCTATATATAGGGACGTATCCTTCATTACTCAGTAAGACCAATTATCATCAAATTGTATCACTTCCCCCAGAAGGTAGGAACAATTCCAAATTGCCAATGCTTTTTCACTTTCGAATCTATGTTACTCATTGTTAGTGTTCAATCTTATTAGGTTGAGGATCTGCTGAAGAACTACGAGAACGTGTGCACGCTGCGCGTGAGAATGCCCATCTCCTCCGATCTATCCAACCCCCGCAACTTCATCACTAAGATCACTCGCTACGAGAAGGTGGTCAACATCCCAAACTCAATGACGATTCTTGACGAGCTCCTCCCCATATCGATTGAGATGGCCAAGAGAGATCTCACGGGCATATGGAACTTCACCAACCCTGGGGTGGTCAGCCATAATGAGATTCTGGAGATGTACAGGGAGTACATTGATCCCAAATTCACCTGGAAGAACTTCACCCTCGACGAGCAGGCAAAGGTCATCGTGGCCCCGCGGAGCAACAATGAGCTAGATTCGACCAAACTGAAGAACGAATTCCCCCAACTCTTGTCCATCAAGGAGTCCCTCATAGAGAACGTGTTCAAGCCCAACCGTAAGACCCAAAACCATTTGGTGCTTTGAATTTTTTATTCGAGTTTCCATACACTTGTTTTCATTTCGGTATCCATGTGGACATCATAGGTTCTTTTTACCAGATGAAAAACTCCCATACGTCGTCGTCTTTCTATTTTTCGTTTTTCAGTTTCAATATCGCTGTAATTGTTTCGAATATTTTTGGAATTGTGTTGTTCGATTAAAAGATTTGTATCGTTGTTCAAACGTGGAGTTGCTTTTTATGATTTGCAGTTTTCTTCTTTGCTTATTGGTATGCATCACGAGAATAAGAATAGTGTTTGTGTGATGAAAATGCTCCATATATACTACTACCAACATGTTGTGGCACCAGCCATTATTTTAGATGTAAGAGCTAAGAAGAAAACTGTATAGCCCGAGTAGTATTTAATGTTAAAAAAAGAATAATAACAACGTATAACTAAAAAAAAAGTTTAATAAGCCATGAATATTTAAATACAACTTAGAAGGGGGTCTTGCCCCAAGTCAACTTCCTTGTCCATTTTGAAATAGGGGTATGTGTCTTTCGAGATGTTCTAAAAAAGAAATAAAAAAGTAAATATATTAAACTTGATTTTTGAGCCGGGTGGAAATTTACCAGAAGGTAAAAAACTTCAATTTTATAAATAGAACATCGTAGATGTCTTAATTAGAGTCAACCTCATAATATGACCTGATCTTCCAATGTCAAAAGAATGGAACTCACATAAATAGGCAAAATAGCTCCAGTGTCCCATATGGTTTAAAAAAATAAGCACCAATGCCCTCTCCTTCATCGGAAAAATGAATGAAATTAATTAAATGAGAAATGAGTGTAACATTTTGAAACCACGAGAATTTTATAAATAAGTTTTGAAAACATGATAGTTTTAGTGCCTATTTTCAAAACCTCGAGAGATACGGGTGCTATTTGACCCAGATAAATATAGGTATACCTAATGCTCCGTAGCAGAAACGAGTGCTGTCTGTGTTCTTGTTTACAAATTGTACTCCGTATAAACACAACATATGCATTTAATACCCTTCTTCAACGTGTTAATTGAATATTTTAGAAGTGATTCTCTCTCTTTCATATAGAAAAAATATGTCAAGGACTAAGAAAAGGAATCATTTTCTAATTCTGGTTGTAATCCAAAAAAAATGCCAAAGCCAAAGAACCCATAGAAGATCTTTTTTAAAAGAACCCAAAAATCAAGTTCATATGTGAAAATAAATACAGTAATAAAATCGCCCTAAATTGCAAGCCAACTGTTGTTGTACAAGGAGGAATGCCAATTTATTAGAATCCAAAAATCAAGTTCATATATAAAACAATATTATACGCAGACGAAACAAAAAACAAAACAATAGAGCTGCACCTCTTAGATAAGTGGCCTCTTATCTTCCTCGATTTCATCTTCGCCGCTTTCTGATGCCCTCTTGAGCTCCTTGTGATGATGATGATGATGTTTTGCCTGTTTGTTTGGGGCATCAAATGGCATGCTTCGAACTGGAGGTTTGGTTTCGGGCAAGAGCTTCAAGAGGATTCCCATGCATATAAGCAGCAATCCCGAGCAATGTTGCTCCGTGAGTGGCTTTGTAAAGATCAAGTACGACAACAACAGAGTAACCGCCTTTCTTGCTGTTGTCACCTGCATTTGCCAACAATGGAAGAAGCATATGAAATCACCTTGACTGTAGTTTTGTGGACTATTTGTTGGAAATCAAACAAAGTCCCACACCGTGTGAGAAAGGAAAATATAACCCAAGTAGATAGGTTCAATCCAATCTACTAGTACGAGGCCTTTTAGGAGGTGCCTAAAAACAAACTCATGAGGGCTCCGCCAGAGTGGACAATGTCATACTAATGCAGGGCTGTGGTGAGGGTACACGCGGTCTTAACAATATGAATATAGTAAACCAAACCAAACCAAAACTAAGCGAAAGAAACCCAATATGTGTCTGTTCTGCCCGAGGCTCTCCGGACTTCAGTTAAATTTAAGGTGAAAAAACAGGGCTTATATCCCACTCAAGAGCTGGTCCAAAGAGAGAGAGCTTATGTCTATACAAGGAGTAGAGAGACTGTTTCAGAGAGGGCTCTTGACAAAAACCGATACTCGCAGTGTCAGGAGAGGAATAGGAATACAGTAAAGTCACTAAAGCCGATAATGCACTAGATTTGAATTTTGAAAGAAAACAATTTTAGCATATGAGTAGTATAGTATGTTTACCATTGCAGTTGTGGCAGCCCCAAAGATAGCTATCAGTGATAGAACAGAGAGTTGACCTACAAATGTCGCCATTGCTTCAAAAACCAACACGCCATATACATAAGGATGCTGCACAATTTAAAAAAGACTATTAATATGCTTTGTATACAATAAATGGAAAAACAGTTTTTGCTTTGGTTTATGAATGCAGTCTTATTTACCTGATAACATGACTTCCAGGCCTTGAAAAGCTCTCCAGTTAATATCATGGGCACAAGTAGGAAAGGTGCCCCGACTACAGTTGAGCAAAAGAGCATCTCCATCTGAGATGGAATAACAGTAAAAAAAATAGAAACATAACAGTTAAATGGCATCTTTGAGATTGTATGTATTGATCAATCAATCATATGAACTCTGAAACTATTGCACTACCTGAGTTGTTTCAGGATTCAGGGTAAAAATTGCTTCCTGCAAATTACCCAGAAAAGAATCCATTACTAGAGCACCACTTATCATTATGATGCCAACCATACTGAAATTTGGAGAAGTGCTGGCATCTGCTAGAGTGAAAAGAATTAGGCCGGCAACTAGGAGCACTGCAGAGATGTATTCTTGGGGAGGGTATTTTCTTCTTAAGCCAGGAATAAAGGCGCCCATTATCATCACAGGAAGGACCTACACCACATCACAAAATTAGTAGGAATCAAGAAGTGCTGTACGAGCCTAGAGAAGTTGCAACACCAAACTACAGAATTACTTTAATGTGCTTACGTGCCGTTTTGATTTAGTCTATTATTTACCAGAAGCTAAAACATGTCAATAATACTCCCACTATGGACACAAAACCGACTATGGAACAGGGCATATTAATTTGATAACAGAAAAGGCCAGAAAAAGAGTACATTTTACTTCAACGTAAAATACTTCCAACAACCATTCGATAGGACATGGAATAAAGAAAGTGTGAAATGTTATAAGTAGGTACCTTAGTGGACTTGAACATGATCTGTGCTGGGTAGTTAAGATAAGCAAGGGAGCCCTTTGTTAATCCGTGGGAGCCCATGAGAACAGCAGAGAGCTTTACGTAGGTTTTCCAAGGGTTCACCATTTGCTTAGTGGTGAAACCTTGTAAGCGTATTAGTGCTAAGTACACAAAACCTTGTATGAAGGTAAAATACCACCCATAGCTGGAAAAAGAGCACAACATCCCTCTCAGTCAAAGAAATCATTTTTAGATATTTTCATATTTAGTACACTAACCAAAACATAAGGCATAAGCAAATGTTAAGACAAATACTCCCATGTCCCTTTAAAAAATTTTGTTTCATCAAGGTACAACTTTTAAATTTTAATAAGGTATTAAGGTCCAACTATTAGAAATGTTGTAATCAATTATAACTACTCCGTATATTTTTAAATTTATTTGTTGGATTAATCAAATTTATTTAGCATAATCAATTATAACAAGTATATTTTATACAAGGCAAAACACTTTTATGGGATTTTACTAGGTTTGTTGCTGTTATTGTTATATAGAACAAAAAAAATTAAATATAATGGAAATAAACTTCTTTTGATCAAATAAAACTTATTTTAAAAAAAATCAGATATACGGAGTAACGTTTTCTTTGGGACCGTGGGAGTAGTTTGTAATGAAATACCAGAACATGTGGACCATACGTCCATACCTGAACTGGAGCCTATTATACACATATTCCTGCAATTGACAATATTAAAAGTTCATCACTTCCAATCTTCCACAATATATTAATTCATAAATTCATAATAATTTAGAAATGGCATCCTAATAAAAAAGATCTCCAAATTCAATTGAAATAGGAGCTCTCCACAATATACCTTTCTGATTTTCTTTTTTAAAAAAATGAAATCTTAAAAAATCAAAGAAAATCAATAGAGAAAAAAAACTGATTTTTTTTGCGACCCAGCCGTGTTTGGTTTTCATTTATGTTTATGAACAGGGAACAGAATTTGACAGCTCAATGGCAAGCAAAAAAAAAAAAAAAACCAGTATTAATAATACTCATGAAATACAAAATATAGGTCAACAAAAATCAAATAGTACCAAAAGGCATCATAGTAGAGTTGGAATTGACAGCCATTAAATCTCAACAATGGGCCTTTGTGGGGTTTATCTCTTCATCTCTTTCTCATATTCATACACATAAATACAAATAATGGCGAGAAATTACAGAGAGAAGAAAAATACCTCGCAAATGCCATTGACGAGGTAGCCGAAGAAGAACCCAGATGAGCAAATGAGGAAACGTTGCCATATCGGCCGATCGGAGAGCGAAATCCCGAACAAAGACCTCGCTTGATCTTCATTGTTCTTCATCTCTCTCTCTCTCACAATCAATCAATCAATCGATCGAAAATTCAGAATGTGAACTGCTATGAACTTGCATGCCCGGGCGGGCAAACAGAAAAAAAAAGGGGGAACGGAAATCGAATTCCTTCGAATCCCAGCAAAGTATCGGAGATTTCACTGGCCTGATCTGACAATAAAGAGGGAGAAACCCGGATTTAGGTCGGATTTGGGTATGGCATAGTTTATGCGTTTATACTTTGCTGTAGAGTATCATCCAGGTATTCCCTGGAAAATAAAAAATAAAATATAATGGCTACCAAACATGCAGAATCGAGGGTAGAAAAAGCAGGGGAATGGGAGTCAAGGAAGAAGCTTTGGGGAGACGGGAGAGAAGCACAGAAATGGAAGTTACAGAATCCCAAGGAGAAAGATATTTACCTGTATCTCATCGCATATCTCCTTTTTCACCCTTCCCTCTTTAAACTACTTTCCTCCCTAAATAAGAAAAATACACTCTCTTTTTTGTTAGGGGTAAGTATGTATAAGAATCGAATTAAAAAATCACTCTAAATAGGATTGTGAAAGATAACTTTTGGTATCGAAAATCTCGAATCCGACATATATAGTAATACGTTATAAGAATATCAATTGCTTAATTGGTCCGTCCCTGAGTGTTTGTCCACTTTTGACTTTTGGAACTGTTCATCTAAGC